AGGTGCTGGTCATCATCTTCAAAGCGCTCCATGGCATCGGACCTGGATATCTCCGAGACCGCCTTCTGCCGCAGATTACCTCCCATCGGCCGGTACGCTCCCACAGAGTGGGTCTCCTCAGGGTGCCGTCAGCCAGACAGTGCCGGCTGGCGACCTCCAGGGGGAGGGCCTTCTCGGTGGGAGCTCCCACCCTCTGGAATGAACTACCCCCAGAGATCCGGGTGATCCTGGATCTCCCCTCCTTCCGCCGCGCCCTAAAGACATGGCTCTTCCAACAAGCGGGATTGGCCTAGGGGAATTTTTAGTGGGGTTTTAAGAGAAATTTTAATTGACATAGGCCACAGTAAATATTTCTTTTTAATTAGGTTTTAAACTGGGTATTTTATTGTTGTATTTGTTTTATAAGGCTGTCAGCCGCCCTGAGTCCGTAAGGAGAAGGGCGGGATAAAAATTAAATAAATAAATAAATAAATAAATATGTAGAAGATCTCTTTGACCGCCCAGCCTAGTGTGAACCAGCTGTCCCCCTCCAATAATATCAACAAAAGCACAGCAAAAGTCAACATACCAACAGTGTACAATCAGGGCCCATTGATACATGCACTAACTCCTTAATATGACCTGAAATAATATTTATGGGATTGATCCTGGGAGACAGAAAGAAAAATTGTAGCCTAGACAAACAAAAATAGAGTCCAAGTATGTAGTGGGGACAGAAAAAGCATCTCTGAGATAGTTAAAAGTAAAGGAGGAAAAAGCTTATACCGGGTAGTTCTCAACAGTTTGTTTGGTGACCAAAGTTATAGCAGCACTGAAAAAAGTGACTTATGACAATTTTTCACACAACTGTTGCAGCATCCTTGTGGTCACGTGATCAAAATTCAGACGCTTGGCAGCTGACTCATATTTAAAATAGTTGCAGTGATCCCCTTTTGTGACCTTCTGACAAGCAAATTCAGTGGGGAAGCCAGATTCATTTAACAACCGTGTCACTAACTTAACAACTGCACTTACCAACTGTGGCAAGAAAGGTAGTAAAATGGGGCAAAACTCACTTAACAACTGTCTTGCTTAGCAGCAGAAATTTGGGGCTCAATAGTAGTTGTAAGTCGAAGACTACCTGTATTTCAGGCTTGCAGGATTCTATTACTATAACTTTACAGCAAAAAGCAGTCTTAGTCTGCATGGTCAGTGCTTCCTATCTGAATTACCTCGAAGAGCTGACATCTCATTTATCATCCTGGCCATTCTGGGGGGAAACCAAGGTTTTAAAGACATTGTACAGACCAATAAGGCTGGGGCCAGCTGAATTTCTTGGGGAAATCATTCTAAAATATAGAGAAGGCATGCCTCCCAAGTCCCATCTGATAATGTTACTTCTAGAAAGAAACCTGGAACATGTCTATCCTGTTAGAGCATATAACTTGGGCAGAAATAATTTGAGATAGGTTTTTGTTATTACAGGTAGTCCTCGGCTTACAACAGTTCGGTTAGTGACCATTCAAAGTTACAATGGTACTGAAAAAAATGAGTTATGACTGTTTTTCACACTTACAATCAATGCAGCATCCCCATGGTCATGTGATCAATGGATGCTTGGCAACTGATTCATATTTATGACAGTTGCAGTGTCCTAGGGTTACATAATCAACTTTTGCAACCTTTTGACAAGCAAAGTCAGTGGGAAATCAGAATCACTTAGTAACCTATGTTACTAATTTAACACCTGCAGTGATTTACTTAACAATTGTGTCAAGAAAGGTGGAAACATGGGGCAATATTCACTTAACAACTATCTCACTTAGCAAGAGAAATGTTGGGCTCAGTTGTGGTCATAAGTCAAGGACTATTTGTATTAGGTAAGCCATTCAGCATAAAACTATCATTTAAATCTGGAAATGCAATATACGAACATAACAAATTGTGTATTTCCAGCCAAAATGAGTAGCAAAGATTTTAAGGTAAGAAACTGAACAAAATGCACACCTCGAATTATCTCTAACAGTTGGACTTCAACAATTTTATTCCCAACCAACGTGGCCAAAAAAACCCAATGCTTGAGGAGTTTTAGACTCTTATAGACAGGATTCACACAAATAATCTAATCCACAATATAGTTTCTTGAGTTTGATGTATGACACCAACCATTGTGACTTGTAGATCGTATTTTGTGGCTTTCCATATTGTGTGAATCTGTAGTGTTGCATTGAACATGAAGTATAGGGTTTCCTGCCTGAGCAGGGGGTTGGACTAGATGACCTCCAAGGTCCCTTCCAACATTATTATTATTATTATTATTATTATTATTGTTATTGTTATTGTTATTATTATTATGTAGCAGAAATTGGCTTCAACTTTACACTGTTACATCACTGTGTATTATAGACAGATTAGAGATCTCAAATTAACATTTTGCATTATCTTTCCCTGAAGAAACTCAACATCTACTCTTTCATGTTCTTCCAAACAGTTCCTGTATGCAGGCTCACCCTTGAGGGAAGAAATTGCTGCTGAGATGTATGAGGATGAGTTGGACCTTAGGCATTCAGGATCCTTCTTGAACAGCAGCATCACTTCAGCGGAGCACAGCCTTGACCCCGATGACATTCGGGTGGGTGGAACACTCAGGACCTTCTTTTGACGCTAGCTATGCCAGAAACAGTGCAGAGTAAGAGTTCCCTTTTGCAGTCTTTCTCCTGAAGCAAATTAACAGCCAAAAAAACAAAAAACAAAACCATCCTTCACTGCCCTAAATAAATGTTAGTTGCAGAAGGGTGGGAAGGTGATTATGCAATAAAACTGAGGTTCCTGTTTCTCCTTGAAGGTTTGGTTATAGGTGGGAGTAGAAGTGATGAGGAATGGGAAGATGGGAGGAAGAAAAGTTGAATTTTTGCTAAACTGATGAGAACTATTTCTTTTCCTGGGACATTAGCCTTTCTTTCATGGCTAATTCCTGCTCTGAATCACATAGAGTTTAAATGCTGTTGCTGATGTTAGCTACAAACTGCCAGAACTCAACTTCTCCATTATCACACCCCCAAATCAGCTAAGCCTCTTCTCAGTTTTACATTTTGTAATTCTGCAAATTGTCATCCATCTATTGATCAAACAATCAATGTATTATGCCAATTTAAGTAACTGTGGGTGGCTAATAATCCTAAAACAGGAACATATATATGAAAAGAAGAGAAAAATTTATTCTTCCAAAAAACCAGTGGGGTTGGGGCTGTCCAGAACTAAATGGGAGGTTGTTGCACAAGGCAAGCACCACAACAAAGAAGGAATTAGATACATACTGACCCTGAGGGATCTGGTGGAATGGATAGAAACAATTGGAGACAGGCATCCCCCAAATATCCTGGCCCCATGCCATGTAGGGCTTATAGATGATAACTAGCATTTAGATTGCACCTAGATTGCACTATTAGAAGCTAGTGCAGTCCACAAAATGACAGTACGTGATCAGACCAGCTATACTTTCAAAATGTGCTTCAAGGCAGCCACATATACAACAGTCCAAGTGGGAAATAATTAAGACATGAGAGAATCTCCCAATCCAGGAATGTGTGCAACTGCCACACAAGTTGGCTTTATGCAAAGGCCTCATGCTATTACTGCCACCTGCTTCTTGAGCAGAAGCTGAGTGCATAAACTCTGTCTGGGGGAGTATAAACCCATCCAAAGTTAACAAATGGAAATTGTCCAGATCTGGGGGAAGTCTTGCTAGGGTTGGATTGGAACTTGGTCCTTTCTGTCCAAACTCTCACAGCACCCAGGCATGGAGAAAGAATTTCACTAGCATGACCTGAGCAGTCCAAGGCAGAGATGTATAACTGAATATTATCCTCATTCTGGATACTTAATCCCATGCCAACGTTTGTCCTTCTCTGCAACTTCATATAGAAGATAGATATGGGGATTGAGCTGAGATCTACAAATCAAGGTCTAGGGCTGCACGTCTCACCCCATACACATACACCTATTAGAGGAAGAAGAAACATCAAAGCAAAATGTCCCCACTTCCAAACCCTGAGTCAGGCCAGAAGAGTATCATGGATTCATGGCAGGAATATTTCACTTAATCCTGGAATAAAGAGCCATCCTAAGTATACAGATAAAACAATTTAAAAAGAAAATACTTTGGTAAACCTAGTCAGGCTGCCATTCCATCCAGTGGACATAATTCATTATTATTATGCTTTTGACTGAAAAGCTGTTTTATTTTTCTTCTATTATCTTGCTCCCCTGTCCTTCACTGTATTTTCTCCTTCCCTTGCATGTAACATGTAGGATGAATTGAAAAAGCTTTATATGCAGCTAGAATTTCACAAGACCAAGAAGATGACAGCCAACAACCCTCACCTTCAGAAGAAGAGAAGTTCAAAGAGGGCCTTAGGCCACACTCTGATGAGACGTATCACCGAGTTACCTGGATCTATGTCCCGCCAGTGCAGCAAGAAGGAAAAAGATGGGTCTATCAGTGGAAGAATACAAAGTCATTCTGGCTCTTATAAGCAAAGATTCTTGGACTCCAGAAATTTGAGCATGAAATTGAAGGACTTATCTCCCAAGCACAAAGTGGCCTTCCAAGAAAAAGATGGGATTTCACTGAAGAAATCCCATAGTACCTATGATCACCAGGGAGATATTAAGGCAAACAGTCTACTAACCAGACATGACAGTTGCAAAGAAGCTCCTTTGTTGGACTCACTTATGAGGAAAAAACTAGCCATGAAAGCTTCAGAGAAATCTGACAATGACTCTGTTGATTCAGCCACTCTGGTATACAAATCAGCCAGTGCTCATAATTTGTTAGCAGATAAGAAATCTCTGCATCCCAAGTATTACACTCTGCAGAAATCTCGTAATGTTGCCAGCAGTGAAAATGAAAATGCCTCACTGCTAACTGGCACAGCTAATTTAGAAAATACGCATAAACCTGCCAAAGAGAAAGACACAAGTGCAGCAGTGGAAGATACCATGACAGAAAGTGAAGAATCCAGACACACTGAATTCAGTGATATAGTCTCAGAAATAGAGGGGAAACAGCTGCAGACAGAGAATACAGCAAAAGAAATTGAGAAACATTTCCCCAAAGGCAAAAACATTATGTGTCCATGGGAAGTTGAGACAGATCCATCAATACCATTAGAAAGCAGAGATAATAAGAGGGATGTAACATCTGCTCCCATCAGGAGCATCAGCATCAACATTTCTGATTTGCCTGAGAGAAGAGCCCACGCCATTAAGAAGATACCACCTGAACCACCCATCAGGCAGCAAAGTTTGATTCACAATCTTCATTGGGATAATTACAATCAAAAGCAACATCCTGCTCAGTCTCCTAAAAAAGAACCCCCAAATATTCCAGTGCTAGTCAATATACATCTAAGAGAAACAGAAGAGAGTTCTCCATTAAAACCTGAAATGGAAAAGACTATGCAACGAGAAGATACGGTGCCATCTTCTTCTCTAGTGGAACTAACCAGGCTAGCATCCATTGCTGCAGAAATTTGCCCTTGGGAGGTTATGGAAATGCCCATTCCAAGAAAGAAAGATCTAGAAGTGAGTGATTTGGATAATCAAAACAGTTCTCCTGAAAAACAATTGCAAACCCTCATTCCCAAAAGCTCCATAAAGAGCTTAGGTATGGCCATTAAAGCATTCAATCGTTCAAAGATAAAGAGAAGCATAAGTTCCAAAAAGAACAGTGAGGACAGTGAAGCCAAAAACGAGAAAGACATCAGTGGAAAGCCCAAGTTGGCAGAAACAGCCTTAATCCCTGCTGAAGGATCATTAAGACAAGAAGTACCCTCTAGGAGTCCTGGAGATAGCAGGGCAACGCCAATCAGCAAACAAGCAACTATCTGCCCTTGGGATGAGGAAGAAGCAGCTTCTCCTAGCTCACAGAAAAATAATTTAAACAGAAACCTTGAGTTATGCCCTTGGGAGAAGAATCAAGATGTTGAGGATAGAGTGAGCAATCTACCAGCAACAGCTTCCAAGGGTGCTAAGGAGATCTCCCCTGTCAGATTGGAAAAGACTAAGAACCAATGGGGATCTGTGTGTCCCAGAGACAGATTAGAAGATCAAAACAGAGAGAATGAAACTCCTGATCTCTTGTTGTTGGTTTCAGAAACAGACAAGGCTGATATTTGTCCCTGGGAAATCAGGGAACCAAATTTCAAAACAGAAGTAAGTCCCTGGGAAAATAAGGATCCCTCAACATCAGAAAGAGAACTTAAAGGGAATGTAACTGCAGTTTCCAGAGATGAGAAAAAAGGAACTAGAGAAGAAGCATTTGTGAAAGGGAGCAATCAGAAGAGGGAATCTACTTGTCCATGGGAGAACATAGTTAGTGAAGATTCATTGATCAAGTCTACACCCAAGATCATTTGTCTTTCCAAATTCACCTCACAGAGTTCAGAAAGCCTGGAAAACCGAAAGACAACAGCAGAAATCTGCCCCTGGGAAATATTGAGTCCTTCCAATCAGGATATAGAAAGAGCAACCGAAAAGACTGTAGCCATTGGATCTAAGCATCCAGAAAAGGCACGTAGCTCACAAGAGACAAGTGATCTTTGTGAAAATCTGAATACTGATGAATTGTCACCTGAGTCAAATGTTAAATGCCTAAGTTCCCCCAAATCTGGCAGTGCAGAGAACCTATTGGCAGATGTATGTCCTTGGGAAAGTGTGGATAGTCATAACAATATTTTACAGAAGGAAACAAGCCCTTTTAAAACATTAGAAAAGGTAAGCAATCTCCAGGAAGCTGTCTGCCCATGGGACAGTGTTGATCCCAGCATACCTTCCAAAATCCCTTCAAAGAACTTTGATAGCACAGAGACCTTAAAGGCAGAACTCTGTCCTTGGGAAGTGACTAAAGAAAATGCCTCCAAAGCAGATGAGGGCTGCAAAAGTACTTCCCCAGTGAGTTTGTCCAAAGCAATTGCAAATCTGAGCAATTTACAGGAAGATGTCTGTCCATGGGACAGCAAAGAGCTTCAGCAACTTTCGCCAAGATCTGGTGACCAAAGTGACTTAAAGAAATCTGATAGTATTAGTGACTTAAAGAAATCTGATAGTATTACAAGTTTAAGGATAGATGTTTGTCCATGGGAAACCTCAGAAGAGGTGAAAATATCTCCATGGACTGAAGCCATGCGCTCATTAAAAACAAAAAAGAAGGAAGGCCATGCACTTAAAAGTTCAAACTCCAATAAAGCTTGGAAAAAAGTAGCATTTAAAAAAATAAAGATGTCAAGAAGTAATCAAGGATCTATTTTTCCCTCAGGAATTATGATCATTGATGAACCAACTACAAAAAGCACCCAAAGCCCACATCCATTGCAAGTTAGTTCTAAAAATACTGGAAGTGTTGAGAGTGTAAAGGCAGAGATTTGTCCATGGGATTTCCAGGAGCTTCAGACAGATGCTAAGTTTGTGGGACCACCAGAAGAAAGTTCTTTTAGAAAAGAATCAGACCAGGTTTCCAATGATAAAGCAGATACCAAACCTTTAATAAGGCAGATTAAGAGACAAGAGGAAGTAAGCAGCCCACAAGAATCTATTTGTCCTTGGGAGAGCATGGCACAAATAAGCAGCCAAAGGCCAACATTGCTCAGAGATAGTTCAACGAAATCAGAAAATATTGAAAGAGCAGAGATATGTCCTTGGGAAGTTGAGGATGTGGAATTCAGTGGCAAGACTGAACTATGCCTCATGAAAACAGCACCTAAATCTAGCAATAATAGAATATTAAGACAAGATATCAGCGAAGTTTCAAAAGACAAAATGCTGGCAAGCCCAAGCTTAAAGAAAGTCTGGGTAGATATGTCAGCTAAAATATTCAAGTCACATAGCCAGCAAGCTTTAATTTCTTCCCAGAAAAATACTGGCATACTCTCATTAACACCCAGCAGTAAAAGTTTAGACCTATCCATAAAACCTGACAATGCTAAAAGCCTAAAAACAGAATTTTGGGAAATGCAGGAAGCTGGAGCTATTATGAAAGCTGAAGTATGTCCCTGGGAAGTGACTGAAGCTCCACTGGAGAAGGGGACATCAAGGAGGGCTTCCAAAGATAATGTGAAAACTGATTCAAGAAGCTCTGTTAAAACACCAGAACCTCTGGAAAAAAGTAGCAATTCTCTAGAGTCTGATTTCCAATTGAAGAGCATAAATGCTGCAGATATTATGGAAACCAGCACTTCTTCAAAGACATTTGATGGTATAGAAAATATCATGACCTCCCTTCAAGAAGCCAATCAGTCATTCGATAAGAAAGAGATTTGTCCATGCGAAGAAGAAGCAGAGGTATCAGTAAACACTGGGGAAATAACCCAGAGTGTGCAGCAGGGTTTGGCTGGGCACACGTCTTTGAGTCACAGTCTTCCAAAGGCACAGTCAGAAGATACAAACAAAATCCTTTCATCAGAAAGCAGAGAAGACATTTTCATAGACAATGCCTTCTCTTGGGAAGCAAACAAAGGTTCTACGCTGACCAGAACAGACTCTGCAAAAACCCATGAAAAAGGCTCAGAAGCCTGCTTAGGACAGGCAGAAGAAGTCAGTTCCATGCCTGCTGTGATAGCCCAAAGCAAAACAGAGCAGAAACCAAAGGCTCAGGAAGCAGAAGATCCTAGCAAAGTCATGTCAAGTATTTGTCCTTGAGATTACAATTGAATGGGCTAAACTAAGAACCTGTTTGGATGCTTTGAGAAAAACTTTTTCTTGGATGCAAAAAGGTTTAAAACAAACCCACCTTTTAGATTAAAAAAATAAACAAAGGACATCTACTAGTTGTGGTAATAATGCTCACTATATATTGTTAGGGAAAATGTACTGTAAGTCTGAATGATGAAGCTGTGGTCAGACAGGAGGATTGCTGTTACCCCCAAAAAGTTGTACAATTCTGCCTTTAGTTGCAGAATAGCCAAAGTTACCTGTGAAAACCTGCACGTTGTTTTTGTATGCAAACATGTAATACACAGATCTCTGGGTATTCTTTCAGGTACTGCAAACCGTGCACATCAAATATCTGTAAACCATAACATCTAAGTAACAAATCTACTCACAGTGAAAAGCATCCACTGAAAATTGGCTTTAAACAAGGGGATTATTTGGCAAGGACATTTGCATGTAGCAGTAGTTAATGCATGCATTAATGGGGATAATGGCAATAGCCACAATCAAGGAGAGTCTCTCTCTGTCTCTCTCTCTCTTTTCTTTCAAAATATTACCTATTGGTTCATTATTTACGTAAAAGACTTTTCACTAACCTTCTAAAATACACTGGCTTTACAGCATGGTTTGCAAGTTTAATAAAATATGGAAATATGGAATACAATTACATTGAGGGAGTTTTTCTAAAGGTCAAGAGTGTAGATGTTATACCTGGAAACTGCCTAAGAAGCTCCAAAGGACCTATCACTGAAAAAAAGGTGATCGCTGTTAGGAAAGGCTTAACCTTGTTTACCATTAGGATAGAGAACAGAGCTTCGATTGCAGATCTCTCAGCCCCATTCAGTCTGCTCTTCTAAGATGTTAAAGCTATAAAAGCTAAAATCAGCACCTTAAATCAGTCAAGAAACCCACAGCAAAGTAACTAATTTAGAATAAATGTGACATGATCCATATACTACAGGTTTTCCACTATAAGTAAAACCAACATTATTGGGGCAGTGGGATATTGACATCATGTTCCCCATACATTGGCAAAACAACTTCTAGGGGATGGTTGCCCATTTATAAAGTAGCTGCTGTGGCAGGAAGTTACAGTAACAAAATAGGAAAGGGACTAGGGAGCCTGTGTAGGGGGCAAACTAGTAATAAAGTACTATCATTGCTCTCCAGTCTATTTTCCATTGCTAAATGTGTATGCCTACTGCGTGCAACCAACCAAATTATTTTCTAAAAGTATGGATGTTATGTGGGACTGAAAGACATTCAGACTTTTTTTTAAAAAAAGGAAGAGGCTGGTACTTTGAAGCATGCAAGCTTCCTGTTTATTTATAGAGAAAATTAAAGAAAACACAAGCAGCCTGGAGGCACAAAGGAAAGCCTGCATAGGTTTTGTTGTTGGCTGAAGTCTGAATTTCAAGCTATAGCCCTTAGCTCATGGCCCAAGGAGAGGGGGGTTTTTTTGTATAGTATTTTCATGGGAGACCAGGAAGAAGCCCCAGAGCTAGACTTTGAAATTGAAAAAAAAAAAACTAAATATATTCTGAGAAACTACTTTCATAATGTTGCCAAAATGTTGTCAGGCTCAAATAGAGGCTGTTATTGTTATTTTTACTTTTGGAGAAAATGCTTTCCAGGTTGGCATGCCTGCTATGAAATCCTGAGGACTGAAAAAATATCCAGGAGTGTATTTTGTAATGCTAATTCAATTCATGCTAGATATTGCTTAGGAAGCTGCCCTATTCTGAAATCAGATCATTGATCCAAGTACATGTATATTTCTATACATATGGTTCGCATTATCATCAATGTAAGAGGTTGTCAGCCCTGCAAGGTAGTCCAGACCAGGAAAACAAACTCTTTAATATTATAACTCATTTCTGGTTTAGGCTGATTTTATCAGATTGTTATCTAGACTCTAGCTCTTCCTCCTGTGTCTCAAGGTTATTCTCATAGCTATTACAGTAGACTTCAAGTTGCTGAGGTTGAGAAACATTGATCTATTCTATAGCATGCTATGTGCTGGTTGTGTAATTCTGGGAGTTAAAGTTCATACATCTTAAAGTTACTAAGGTGAAAAACACTGGTCTACAGGTTCAAACAAACTTTCAGAAATTCAGGAAGGTGACTTTCAAAGCCCAAATTAAGAAGCCAAGGACTGAAAAACAGCATAAATCATAAATTGTAGGGAGGCTGCTATACCCTAATTGATGCACTACATGAACTTACAAGTTAGAATATATTCAGGGCTTCCCTACAGCTGTGTATTACAGATACGTAACAAATGATAAATAATTATAATTGTTGCATTTTTATAAAGATTAAAATGAGTTATTTTTTCCTATGGCAGAGTCCTATCACATTTGCATAGGAAAATGTTATTTGCTTCCTACAAATCCAGCCATTGTGATTTGAAGGTTTTCTGGCTTAATGTGATCAGCAAACCCAATTTATTGCTGTTTATGTAACAGTTTGTGGTTAAACAAATCACAACTCTGCATATATTCCTTAATATTTAATAGAACCACTGAGAGACAGGCCTAGTCCATCTGTATAATACCATCCTAACTTTTAGCTAAGTTTTGTTTCTTAATGAAACCTTATATAGTCTTTAATAAGAATCATGTAACACATGCAAATGTTTTGGGTTGTACCTGCCTTGTTGCATTAAATTGTTTCATGACTGGGGGAGTCATGAACCATCTTTACCATCAGTTTTTTCCAGCTGTAACATGGGAAGGAGAAATGCGCTTTATAGAATTATTACAAAAATTCTATAAACTTCTATACAACTAGACAGGCTTTTTGAACTATTGGGAGTGTTGTATAGCTTTTAAATATCTATTATTGGTGTGATTAATATTTGAGAATTGATTTTAATATAATTTATTGAATGAGTTGCAAACATCCCCTCTCCCACCCATCCCCAACCCCACTACTCTCTTTCCTGCAATAAACCATCCCTAGATTATCTCATTCTTCTTTGGGTTTGCCAATTTGTCTATCAATGCCTTTTCCCAACTACATTCATATATCAGTTCACAGAGTTTTATCTTATTGAAAAAGCCAGAACTAAAAATCTAAGAAGTTAGGTGTGGTGGAGGAGATATTGGTTTGTTTTTCTTTCTTTTTTAAAAGCTGTCCTTGCCCTATGTCTCTGTGGATTTTATTAGAGACTTGTACATGGCATGAAACAAATCAGGTAAGATACATTTATACTGACAGTCCTCAACTTACCATTTGTTTAGCAACCATTCAAAGTTACAACACTGAAAAAAGTGTGTTGCAACTGGTCCTTGCACTTACCATGGCTTCAGCATCCCCACGGTCAGGTGATTGTGATTTGGGCACCTGGCAAATGTTGCACATTTTGTAACAGATAGTTGCTGCGATTGCCATTTGTGACCTTCCTAACTGGCTTCTGACAAGCAAAGTCAATAGGAAAGCTGGCAGGGAAAGTCATAATCAAGTGACGCTTAAAAATACAACAAAAAAAGGTTTGAAAAATGGGTTTGGTCATGTGGTACCTCATTTAACAACCATATTGCTTAATAGCAAATTTCCCAATCCCTGTTGTGGTCATACGTCAAGGACTATCTGTAATAGGCAAATCAGAAATTGTTTCAAATTGTTTCAAATGGTGGTTTTCTATCCTAAAATAAACTATGATTTAGTCATTTATCCAGTGTGTAGATTACAGTAACCCCAAATATATTATAGCTTAATCTTATGTATAAATCCTATGCATACTGTATTATCCCAGATCTCTTGTGAGCAATTTGCTTAAAGTAACTGATATTTCCAGACTTTCAGAGTTTATGTTGATATCTCCTGCCTAAACATTCTTTTTCCATAAAGCTTTCTAAAGATATCACCCAACTAATGACCTGGATACCTGTGTTTTTCAACCACAAGATGGCATACTCTTGAGAATGTTTCTTTGACATTGTTGCAAACAATATTGGAAATTGGTATTTTTCAAAAGCAAAAACAACAAACAACCCCACCCATCTCCATGCTAAGGGCAGGCAATATACATTATGCAGTATTTTCTTTGGTATTGTTGCAAACAGCATTCAGAAACCTGGTATTTTCAAAAAGCAGAAGCTAAAACAATAATAACATAAACTTGCTAAGGGCAGGAAATATACATTACAAAATATTTTAAAACATAGTTCTTCATTATAATCTTCTGAGAAAAACAGAGGAAAAACCCTAACCCTAATTCTTCCCCAAAGGGGGGGGGGAGTATAAATAGTAGTAAATTGCAACAATCATCAAGTAGCTTTCAGCCAATGCCAAAATTAGTGACAGGACTTAGCCCCCCCCCCTTTTTTTTCTTTTTCTTTTTAGAATAATGTCCTGTATTCCTTTTGATACATGCAATAGCACTCTGGTCCTCAAACCTTTGGGCAACAGGGACTGGTTCCGTGAACAAGTTTTTTCGCAGACCGGAGGGGGCGTGGTTTTGCGTGCTGCCTGCATCCTGCAGATGGGGCTTCACTTGTTTGCACAGACCGGTTTCTGGCATGCCGCGGACTGGTGCCGGTCCACAGACCGGGGGTTGGAGACCCCTGCAATAGCATATTGTGCAGTTAAACAATTATACAAAAGTTCTTTATGGGTAAGCTATGAAACAATTTAAATATAGCTCCTTTATTTTGGTTATATTTATGTGGAAAAAGTTTATAGTCCAGGCCCAAAGAGGGCTATCATTCAATGGTAGAGCACAAGGAGTGATGCCAAAGGTTGCAGATTCATGAAAAAGTTAGTAGTGCGCTTGAATTGGTGTGCTTTATTTTCTGAATTCTGAATCAAAAGTTCTTCTTCGTTAGAAGATGTGAACCCAAAGTAACAACGCATAGCATTCAAAAAGGAAAGATTAGGAAGCTATGAAGACCAGACTTCTCAATGTTACAGACAGATCCATTACTAAGAACCCTCACTGAGTTAAAAGATTTGATGAAATTGTTTTTGAGCCATTGTTTCGTTGCTCAGAGATCTTCCTATACATAGTATTGGCTACTTTATAATAAACCTAAGATTCCAAATTTCCCTTTTGAACCTGCACTTCCTCCGAGTTGTCTGATGTACTTTTAGAAAGTGCTACTAACATAGTGTGTCAAACGTGAGGACACTTTGTCTCTGTACTGTACTGAATATCAAAATTATCTCCCTGTTATAATGTAAATACAGTAATAAAAATATATCTATATATTAAGAGAATGTGTATCTCATTTTGTGTATTTTAATAGGGTTGGGAATTTTTTTATAATGCTGACTTTGATATTGCAGTGTTTCTTTTCTCTGAAAACAACTGTAGCCCTCAGATTATGTTTTGAACATGTCTGATATGTTTGGGAAGCATGTTGTGGGCATGATCATGAAATGGCTGTCAGAGTGGATTTGAACAATCACAAATTATCCTCTTATCATATTCTTTTCTCTTTTGTTTATATCTGAATAGTTTGTACTATATGCTGCTTACTGTGAATTCACTCAAGTTTATACCCGAATATATATAAATCTACCCACCCTGCTGGCAGAGGCTTTCCAAACTGATCATAGCCTATGATTAAGAACTTTTTTCACACAGAGACAGGGATAAATGCAAATCTACCATGAATAAGCTTCCCAAATGAATATAACAGTGGAAATATTTATAAGTACCGGTATGCAAGCAATTTCATTCACATTTTATGATTAAGCTACAGGAGATGTGATGGCTCAATAGTTTAATGACGCTGGAGATGGTTTCTGCTGCAGCGGTTCAAGCCCTAGCACTGCATGGCAGGGTGAGCTCCCATCACTCACCTCAGTTTCTGCCCACCTAGCAGTTTGAAAGCATGTTCTCTGCAAGTAGATAAATAGATACTTCTTTGGCGGGAAGGTGAGCCGGGGCTTCTTGTGGCGGTTAGAATCCTGCTGGCACTGAAATTTTCCAGTTGAAACGCCCACTTGGGAGGTGGCTCCGATGGAGGGAGAAGGCTTTGGATGTCGCTGTAAGAAAAGCCGGTCATCTTTCTTTGTGATGCGAACCTAGCTCAGATTCCTGCAGCACACCTTGGGAAGCACACATGTACCTAACATCTGGTAAACAGGCAGCAAAACCACTACTCTGCATTAGCATTGTAGTCTCCCGGCTAATGTTAACAATGCCATACACTAAATAAACAAATAAAATTAAGTTACAGATAGTTGTCCATTTACAAGCACACCTGGACCAGAATTTCTGTGCCAAGCAAGGCAATTTTAAGTGAGTTGCACCCAACTTTACAACCTTTTTTTTTTTTTGCTATGATTGTTAAGTGAATCACTGCTGCTGTTAAGTAAATTTGGCTTCCCCCCCCCTTAACTTTGCTTGTCAGAAGCCAGCTGAGATCATAAATGATGATCACAAGACTCTGGCATCCTGCAACTATCATAAATACATGCTGGTTGCCAAGCACCCAGATTTTGATCATATGACCATAGGGGTATTGCAACAGGTGTAAGTTCAAGGACTGGTAGTAAGTCACTTTTTTCAGAGCTGTTGTAAGTTCAAACTGTTTCTAAACAAATGGTGTTAATCAAGGACTACTTGCATATGCCTACTATATATTAGATGCATTCCCATGTTCTAAAACATCTGCAATATTTAATATTGTCCTAATAATCTTTCCAATAGCTTGTAAACTATTGTGCGAAGTGACTTTAAAAAAATCAATCCTTAGCCAGATTTTACAAGTAGGTCTAATTTAGCAACCATAATTGGAATCAACAACTCCACTGTTAAGCAAAGTAGTTACTTACTAGAATTTGGGTGCTGGGCAACCAACATGTATTTATGATAGTTACAGGATACCAGAGTCTTGTGATTGTCACTTGTAATCTTCTCGGTTTCAGTTTCTGACAAGCAAAGTCAAGGGGGAGAAGCCCAGTTCGCTTAACAGCTGCAGCAATTCATTTAACAACCATGGCAAAAAAAAAGACTCTGCTTATGATCTTACTTCAGCTTTCCTTTGTTTTACAAAAGTCATAAATGCAAGGCTTAGTCACAAAGTTACTTTTCCATCAACATTATAACTACAAATAGCTATTGTATGAGGCAGTCACTAAAGAAAGGACTACCTGTAGCTTCTTCCTTTCATTTATTCTCCCCAAGTTTCACACACAAATGGGAAGGAAATAACAAGTTGCAATGATCTCACTTTTACTTCCACATAGGTTAGTTACTCTGCTCTGCAGATTCCCATGAGATTCTAATAAAAAGGAATATCACATTTTTCCTCTATGCTGGATGAGAATGTTAATATCCAGTAAGGAGTTACCTAGGGAAGACTGTACAACACACTATTATAAAGATTTTATTGTGCAACTGTAATGGCGTCTGTTATGCGTCTGTTATTAATACCGTCTGTTATGCCAATCTTTGGTTTCACACTAAAGATAAGACACTGCCAAGGCATCCTCTTGAGGTTAAATTATTGCACATACTTCTTATAAAAGGAAGCAACTATTAGCTTGAGTTTTATTTCTTTTTTATTTTCTCTTTTAAGAATTGAATAATGTATGTCTCCCATCTATCTGCTGAGTGACACAGAATTTTGGTATCTGCTAAACACAAATTTAATGGTATGTCCAAAACTTTTTTTTTTACCATTTTTGCACTAGTTAAAACAGGATTGAGTATGCAATCTTCGAACCTATTAAAATATTTTAAAACTTTATTCTAAATCATATAGTTTCTAAATCATCTACAAATAAGATAGATGATTTAAAAATATAGAACTTGAGATTACTAGTTATCTCAGGACCAATTTTTTTTAATTCAAATAGATGGTACTATCAAATAGATGTTACTATCATTACATCTATGAAATCAGATAAAGCTCCTGACCCTCTTGGTATTCCAGTGGATTGTGAAATAAAAGTTTATTAGGTTTTATATCTTAAAATCTATTACTTTATTGATCAAAAAGAAACAATATACAATCAATATTGCAAAGTATACATCAATTATTTTAGCAAGGAAGACTGAAAAATGGAGTAATGTAGGGATCATATAGCTTGATATATACTTCATAACTTAACTAGAGTCATTACACATAAGAAGCTCGCCCAACATATCCAATTCTGCCTTCCTGTTTCATTTTTTCGTCTTATTATTTGTCGCATTAAGTCTGTGGATCTGGCACCTCTTGATGATTCTTCCCTATGCTTCTGAAGGTGTCGGGATTAGTCCTGGGATCATAACAGTCTGGAAAGTATAAAGTTGGGGGAAAAGAAAACAGAAAATAAATGCCCCAATTGTCAAAATCTCATGAAGTATGAAATATGAAGGAACTGCACTGACTTCTCATTGCATAAGCATCTGTTTATTTAAAAAGCTGACTTAAAATATAGGACTAGGCCACAAAACTCTTGGAAAAGCTCAGAATGTTGGAACACATTGGTTGGATTGACATAATGCAATTTCTTTGGTTTTGGATTTGAATAATGATGTGGGTTCCCAGCCAAGCCTATAATTTATAAAATAGTTCATTCCCAATGGTTGGGCTTCTTCAGTCAAAATTTTCTGAATTATTTTTGCCATTATTTAAACAGGAAACTAAGGTTTTAAGATTATGACTTGCCTAAGGTTTATATGTGTACAGGACAGGGGTACAGTGTGAGCTCAAGCAACACATTCCTGACTCTCTATTGTAGTTTCCTCCAAAGTTTTAAACTACAGTTCTTCATGCTCCTGCCAGTGTCCACTGGTTATGTTAGAGGAGAATGTGAGGATCTATAATTCCATGAACCCAGAAAGCATGAAATTGGCAGAAACCCTGTAATAGGCTTGTAATAATGCATGTAGGTATTGAGAAAATGCTAGCATACTACCATTAGCTAACTGACTTACTTTAAACTGAGCCACTTTTATACTTGCTTTATTCAATATTTATTGAATAAATCATGGTTTATTTAATAAATCATGGATAACTAATTGACAATGACTCATTTCACACAACACATTATTTCAAAACCAAATAAATCACATTATGATTTAGTACGATATATTAATCAAGCTACTTTATCCAGCCCAAGATAAAAAGTAGATGCCAAAACCATAACATTGCTCTAGCTTTAAAATACATGCATCTAAAAAATTAAGATACCTTTACAAATAAATGCTGTACCATATAACCTAAACATGTACCTTGGTTAGGGGATCTTTTGGAGGAGCCCATGACGGAACGATCTTGTCATGTAACCTCCAATGGCCAGTTTTGTGCAGCAGATGTCTCTCAAACACAACGTATTCCAGAACATCCTTCGGTATCTGTTCACTTCCATACATCAATCTCCCAAACTGATCATAGATAGCCAAAATCTGCCAGAAAAAAACCCCCCAATTCTGTGACATTAAGCAGTGATATGTAAAACACATTTTGATATATCCAAGATTAACAGTGGTTAGAATCACATACCTGCCGAATGTGAATTCGAACTGTCACTTGCCCATACAGAAGATCCTCGTTCAGCATAGTTGGGCATCGCACATGGACCACTCTAGGAGGCTCCAATGACTCTAGAAAACTCCACCGAATGGTCTTACATTCATTTCCTTGCACCATTTCCTAACAAATTCAACATGTCTAAAATTTCAACATGTTCAAATTAAGAAGATTAAGCATACTAGTGCAAGAGGATTAAAATACTTATGAGCAACTACAAAAAGATTTTAGAAGAAAATTAGAGGATAAAAATGAAAGTAACCAAAACAAACAAACAAAATCAAAATCAAAACCCAAAACCCTATCTTTAACAACTCAGAAATTTTATATTGCAAAATACTGGGGTCAGGATTAAATGATTTGGTATAAAATATTTTTCCAGTCCTGAAAGAAAGTAGAAAGGCACAAAATGATTGAAGAAAAAATGGAGCAAATAAGCAAGACTAGGCTGAGAAAAAGAAAATGGGCATAAAATGCAAACTCTTGCTGTGGGCAACTGAAGCTCATGGTATTGTTTAGACAAAATAGACTAGTTTATTTGCATTCAGAACTTTTTGCATACAGCATCATCAGTGAAACTCAGTAGCCTGATACTCCATAGATGAAATCTAAACTATGATGACTGCAGACATTAGAAACAGAACAACAACAACAACAACAAAAAAAAGACTTAAAGGCAACCCTCTGGGATCAGGTTGTTATAAGCCATACTAGTCCATGGGCAGTTTTTCCCAAACTGGAGCACATGTAGATGCTAGCAAACACTGTGCATTACTTCCTATACCATCTTAGATTTTTAAAAAAGAAATGTTTGCTCCATACTTTAATTTTAAATGCATACAAAGATGTCAAACTAGTGGAGCACCTCAGGGGCTTGAAATCGAGGAAGCAGCCCACCAATTATGATTAACTCTGCCCAGCGCGGCAGACTGACAATGCAGGAATACCATAGGACAGTAGTTCAAGTATCTGTTACAAGAAAGAGGCATGACAGATCTTCTTAAAAGCCTTTTAAGTAATCACTTGCTGATCTTATCACATGTTCTTACCGGGTAACAGTGTTCAGTCACTAGAGAGTGAAGCTTCTCCTCATTTAAACTGTAAGAATTTAGAAAAATACATGATCAGGTTATTTTTAAGTATCAACTCAATTAAGATACTATTCACTTTGAAGCACATCAGCATGGACATACTTATGCACGCACAGTTCTTGACAACTTCTAATATATAGAGAGAATAATCCTGTTGTTATTCAGGAATAATCCTGAAGAAAAATCACTGTTCACAAAGTTCAAGTTACAATGTACTGTGCAAGTCTGGAAAGAAGGGAAAAAAAACTGTGATTCAAGACAAAAGTACTGTATAGGAAAAGGAAGATAAAATAGTCAATATCAAAACAGCTGCTAAAAGGGTGTCAGAATGTACAAATACACTTGGAACGTCTGATGAATGAACCAGCCCTTGCCCCTACACCTCATTCCTTATTTGAATACAGATTTTAATAGCTATCCATTACAGATATTACTTCCAGCCACTTGAACTATCAATCTATTCATCACAAAGCAACAGGCTGCTTCTTTTTACATTAAAAAAAATTCCTAGAGATAATTTTTGAAGTTTCTCTAAGTAAGGTAAATGAACTAGGACAGTGATGGCGAACCTTTTAGAGACTGAGTGCCCAAACTGCAACCCAAAACCCACTTATGCATCGTCGAGTGCCGGGTGGGTGTGGCCCATTGGCTGGGCGTGGACCATTGGGTGGGTGTGGCTGCGGTGGCAGACTGGGTGGGACTAAAAAGTTCAATCAATCAATTCCAACTTTGCAAGATCTTTTTTTTTCCCGCGAGAAGTTGAAATTGACTGATTGAACTTTTTTTTTTTTTTTTTGCACATGGCAGCGGAGGCCTAAAGCGAAAAGGTTTTATAAAACCCAGCTGAAGGCCTAGGACTGGGGCGACAGCGCGTGTGCCCACAGACAGGGTTCTGAGTGCCGCCTCTGGCACCCGTGCCATAGGTTCGCCATCACTGAACTAGGAGATGTTAACTGCTGTCAAACTAATGCACAATTTGTGAGAAGAGAGGGAAGACTGGGGCCTAAAACTCAAACACATCCTAAGACATCTTACTTGGCCAGATTATTGTGTGCCTCAATAAAGATTTCTTGGGCTTTTTCTGCAAAGGTTTTGATGCGGAAGTCACGATCACTCTCCCTTATTTTTCGGATTCTGTCAAGAAAAAAGTGGAAGGAGAGAGTAAACAACCACAGCTCAAGAAAAAAGAAATCCATAAGATGAAGTTCATCAAACATAGGACTTACATAATCAGCAAAATAGGAGAATGCCATTCTTGCATAGCAAGTCACATTCATATTGATTATATATTTTTTACTCTCATCAATCTATGTGAGAGTAATGGCCAATGAAATCAACCTAGCCTACCTCTTGATTGCGGATTCTGAGAAAAAAGACCCAAACATCAAGTTCTGAAGTCATCAGTCAAACCTACTATTAGACAACAGAGTCTCTTTCATTACAGGAGCACCTATTTAACTAGGCTAAAATGCTGTTGGCAAGTTCACATCTTTTTATAGTTCAGCATGATGCATTCACCCTGGCTGTAGATTAATGCAGCAAACTAAAGGGCAATTAATCAAAAGTATTTGCACATTGTGAGGATACAGCTGAAGTGAAACAATTCCATTCTAAATTTCCATAGTAACCTAAGTCATATCTTTATTTGGAAATGGGTTGATTACCAAATGAAAAATGTGCACAATTCTTAGGAAAAAACACTATTAAATATAAAACTATTTTGTTTAAAGCAAAGCCTAAAAAAAGGAACCATGAATTCATGAACAAACGTTCGGGAGTATACTCACAGGAAAAGATGTAAAACTGCCATCAGCTTCAAGTGATTAAATCACTTCATGGAGAACTAACAATGACGTTTGAACCAAAAACATCATATTCAAAAATATACCAGATGCTGGGAAAATAGCAACAATAAAACACTACAAAAATGAGACTCATTTCCACAGACCTTTTTTTAATGAATTTGCAGCCAAAGGCCATTGTCATATTAAAAAGAATTTGTACTTGATTCAACAGTGCATGTAATAGAAAAGATCCTTTTTTCCCTCCTTCTAAAGTCATATTAAGTATATAGTTTGAATATTTACTCCCAGAAGTCAAATAACATATTCAGAAGTACATGACACCATTTGGAAATGCAAATGAGGGAAGTTCATCTTTTACATGGCCTATCAAATAAAAGAATTCCCTTGCTTGGGGAATGCTATCATGTAGACAGATGCATTCAAACTCATTTTCTGTACATAAGATTTTATACATAGGGTAATATTCAGTCTTAAACTGCTTTTTCAAACCACCTTATTCCAAAAGGGTCTACAGTATACAATGTACTTTTGTAAGTTAATATCTACTGCCTTGCTTTTTAGGAAATACAACAGGAAATAAATCATCTTTTAAGACCTACAGAAATGATTAGAAGATAACGAGACAAGACCATGATACAAACTGCAGCTGCTAAAAGGAAATAGTACAACAGCACTAAGCGAACAGATGCAATAGGGATGACTGGGTGCCACAGACAGAAAGATACATACGCTGTGTAAGATTTTGCAGTCTGCCTCAGTTTCTCTGTCCTTTGCAATAGACCTTCCTTTGACAGCATTGACATGCGGGCATCTCCTTCTGGAGGAATGTAAGGGTCAAAGATCCCCCCTGCATTGCCAAAATAAGAAGAAAATATAACAAACAATTGTTTTTAAAACATGCTCCCCAATCAAATGTGCAACATTAATGTTTTTAAAAAATGAGATAAAATATTATTGCTTGAGCTCCCCCCACATGTTAATGCATTTAAAAGTTATTCCATAGAATCTGATTTTGTTAACATCTTGCTGCTATAAATATTTTTTGTGCATCACTGAATGGCCCTCACTTACAGTTTCAATTACCTACTGCTATTGTGGAAAAACTTTGTACTGACAATGTGGACAGTGGTTATAATATCAGCCAGTACTGGTAAAATAATTAATGACCACTCGTTCAGCAATGGTTGTTGCAATGGTGATGAACAACTAATACTTATGTCTTGTCCTTGAAGTTCTAGGCGCTTGGTACCCAGTTACACTCATGATGTTACAGCATCTCAAAAGCAAATGATCACCATTTGCAACCCCCAGAGGCAATTTCTCACAAGCAAATTCAGTGGGAAAACTGGCAGGAAAGCTTAGAAGTTGCTCCCACTGCTTTTCCTCCCAAGGAGTCCAATACAGAATATAAGAACCTGGGGAATCTTACACTCCATAGCATATGCCCATTTGCAGCACCCCTTCTTCCTCCTGCCCACACTTGTGCCACAGCACTCTCTACCCCACCTGGCCACACCCTGACGCACTTCCCCCTTCCTCCGGCTGTGCTCCTTACCACACACAGGCCCACTGGCCTGCTTGTAAGCCACCCAGGATTTGCAACTTCCTCACTGACTTTGCTTATTGGAAGCTGGCAAGAAGTTGCAAGTCAAAGATCTATGGAGATTCTCAGTCACCCAGGTCATGGTTGTTCCAAATGTACTTTTTCAAGAGGCAACTGGACTTTCTAGTTTTTCTTTGAAGAAGTTTCGCTTCTCATCCAAGAAGCTTCTTCCGCTCTGATTGGATGATGGGGAGTGGAGGTGAGAGCTGAAGAAGCTTTTTGGATGAGAAGTGAAATGTCTTCAGAGAAAAACAAGAAAGTCCGGTTGCCTCTTGAAAAAGCACCTTTGAGACTTCCAAGTCAAAGTCACATGAGATCCCTGCTTAACAACCCGCAATCCTCACTTAACAATGGCAACAGGGACTGATGGTCCTGTGATGTCATGATTTTCACCTGCATCATTTAGTAATGAAAATTCCAGTTCCAATTACTATGGATAAGTGAGGACTATCTGAAATACATAATCACCTGTGTGAAAAAAAAGGCAAATATAATCACAACTCTATTATATTCTGCAAATTAAAATTCTATCTGAGAAATACAGTGTAAAAACACAAATATTTTTTATTACTTGTTAGATTAAGTTTGCTTTTTCGCCAGGAAAGCATGTAGCTCATATGGGGTGTTTCTATTTTATTCCTCAAATAATAACATCATAAGCATAGGATGAGATGAGAAAATATGACTAGTTCCTAAGTTCCCGAGTAAATTTTCATAACCAACATTCCATGGCTTAAATCTGGATCTCCCAATCTAAACATCTTAGCTACTATCATCATTGGCATCCTTCAATCTCGAGAGACTATGGTATCGTGCTCTGAAAAGAGGTACTAAAGCAGCATCTGGTGTGGCTAAAAAGGCCAATTCAAGAGTGGCAGTCCCTTCCACACTGAGGGCAGATACAATCTGTCCCCTGTCCAGCCCCCAGATTTTGCTGGTTCCGGGACTGCCTCTTTGCCTCAGCCTGCCGCACAAGTGTCTCTTCAAATTGGAGAAGTCCATGCTGCGTCTTTAGCCTCCAGGCTGAACGATCAGAGGTCAAGGATTCCCAGCTGTTAATGTCCATTCCCAAGGCCTTCAGATCCCTCTTGCAGATATCCTTATATCGCAGCTCAGGTCTCCCTCTGGGGCGCTTTCCCTGCACTAATTCTCCATACAGGAGATCTTTCGGAATCCGACCATCAGCCATTCTCACGACATGCCCAAGCCAGCGTAGACGTCACTGTTTCAATAATGTATACACGCTAGAAATTCCAGCACATTCCAGGACTGTGCTATTTGGGACTTTGTCATGCCAGGTGATGCCGAGAATATGTCGGAGACAGCGCATATGAAAGGTGTTCAGCTTTCTCTCCTGCCATACGTAAAGGGTCCAAGACTCACTGCAATACAAGAGTGTGCTCAAGACGCAGGCTCTATAGACCTGGATCTTTGTATGTTCTGTCAACTTCTTATTAAGCCTTACTCTCTTTGTAAGTCTGGAAAATGTGGTGGCCGCTTTACCAATACGTCTATTCAGCTCAGTATCTAAAGAGAGAGTGTCGGAGATAGTTGAGCAAAGCTACACAAAGTCATGGACAACCTCCAGTTCTTGTGCAGAGATTGTAATACAGGGAGGTGAATCCACGTCCTGACCCATGACTTTTCAGGCTGATTGTTAGACCAAAGTTTTGGCAGGCCTCGCAAAAACAGTCCATAAGTTGTTGAAGATCTTCGACAGAGTGAGCAGTAACGGCAGCATCGTCAGCGAAGAGGAACTATACTACTATAGTTCTACTGCACTGTAGCTACTATATTACAGTGACTACAGTAATATTCATGGGTGATTTGATAAAAATACAGAAAGAATCTTGCAAAAATTTTTTTACCAAGCTATACTGGTAATACAGGTCACGAATAAATTATATTTGTACAGGATGGCAGAAAGAAGATGGTGGCAAAAAAGTAAGCATTGATTTTTTTTTTCAATTTTTTCACCATCCACTAAAGTTTCTTGGTAGTTTCCAGTAAAAATAAATTAGAAAGATTTTTAAAAGCAATAAAAATATCAATTAATTGCAAAATGCAACAAATAAAATTAACAATTTAATCAATAATTAAAAACTTTAAGGGCCCTTCTGAAAGTTAGTAAGATGTTCGGTTCATTAACTCTACAGTGGCCCCCTATTCTTCAATAACTATTGGTTGGTCAGAGATAGTGGCCAATCCACAGTTAATGAGAACTCTAGAGGAAATGGATTATGAAGACTTATTTCAGTCATGTTTTTGGGGTAGGATTTAGTACTGCAAGTGCCTTATTAATCATGCTTGCAGATACCCTATGGTGGAGCCAGGATGAAAATGATGTATCTATTCTTGTGCATTTTGATTCCTCAGTGGTTTTTGATACTAGTGACCACACTATCCTTATGGGCTAACTCTGTGGGCTAGAGATGGTGACACAATTTTACAGCAGTCCTCTTCCTTTCTCAGGGGCTGGTTTTAGTCAGTGTTGGCTAGGGGGAAAAAATCATCCCATAGGTTCCCCCTTTGTAAGGTGCTATAGAGTTCCAACCTCTCTCTCCTCCAATTAATATGTATAGGTAGTCCTTCATTTATGACAGCATTTAGGACTGTCACTAGGGTTACTGTTGCTAAGTGATGCAATCTTAGCAAAATGTCAAGTGACCACATCATTTAGCAATGACAATCCTAACAGTGCTGATTGCCATCATAACCCCAAGATGCACAGGTAGTGGGAAGCAGCAGGAATCCCAGGTAAGGAATGGGGGGAGGGGAGGGGAGGGTTAGGGGATGAATGTGGAGGCCTGGTACAGCCCACATGTGAGTTGGAGGAGGGAGTGCTACAGCATTTCATATATGCAGAAAGACCATGGAATGGAGAATGTGTTGCTTTGCAAGTGCAGGAAAGCCAGAAAGATTTACCAGCGCTACTTGTGACTTCTATACCATTGATTTTGCTTGTTGGAAGCCGGCAGGGAACGTGACAAACGGCAATCACGTAACACAGCTCCCTGAAATGTCTTAATTGTGAACAGGCACCCAAGTGGGCAGGTATTCTGCGATGGCCAGAACTTTGAGAATGTCCATTTTTTTTCAGCACCATCATAATTTTCAATGATTGTTGAACAAATGGACATAAGCTGAAGATTACCTGTATATGAAAGCACTGGATCAGGCAAGCCACCAATTCATCATCATGATCATGTTGATGAAACTCAGTTATGTCTTTCAACCATGAACTGGCTGTTGAGGTTCTGTCCTAGTGCCTGGAGACTCGCAGGTATCAATGGGAAGGAACTTTCTTTGATTTAATCCTACCAAGACTCAGTGACCATATTTAGGCCATTGAGATCTGGAGATGGCCTACCTTTAACTTTGGATGGAATAGGACTTCCTTGCAAGAGAGTCACTCATACCTTGATTACCTTGCAACTTGACTGCTGCAATGCAATCTACATGGGGATTCCCTTGAAAACCATGCAGAAGCTTTAATGGATCCAAAATCCAGCACTGCAGGCAGTGATCAGCATAGCTCAGCATGTTCATCTGCTCATAAACTGTACTAGTTGCTATTTTGCTTCTGTGCTGGTCAATATTCAACATATTGGTCAATATCTATAAAAGCTTTATATGGCATAGGCCTAATAGTGAGGGAACGGCCCCCGCTGCCTTGGCCCTGGCCCAGGCTGGCCGGGAGCCAATGTACAATTTTTTGGTGGCCATCTATGCTGAAACGCATTCAGCTCCAAAGGCTGTCTAGAAAGAGCGAGGAACCAGCCCCTGCTGTGTCGGCCCCGCCCCCTGGGTGCATGCTGGGGAGGTGTCACCCTTTGTGAGGAATGAAGAAATGGACCATGCCTTGGCGCTTGCCCCGGTCCCACCCCCTTCTGCCAGAGACCCTCAGATCTGTCCCATTCTTGTCCAGGCCCCCACAGACACCCTTGACGTGAACAATGTAGAGCTGGCCATGCCCACCCAGTAGGCCGCACCCACCCGGCCCCCCGAGGGCAACCGCAATGCTGATGCAGCCCTCAATGAAATTGAGTTTGACACCCCTGCCATAGAGATTAATTCTACTCTAATTCTCTCTATGGAATAAATTATCAAGACTACTTACTTGTGCAGGTAATAGTGATATACTGTGCCATCTTTTCTTCAGACATCGCAATTCCTGCAGCTTTTAACTGCTTTTGCTGTTCTTCCATAGAATCATAGCTCCTAGGGGGAAGTCTAAGTCTTTTTTTGGTCCTCACTGGGATCACAAGAGAAGATGGGGCAAAACGGGCAGCATTCAGTAAACACGTTACCCCCTTTCAATTAAAAAAAGCAGATGTTATACAAATAACTTTTAATTACAGCCATTTATATATTTACCTTCCTAATCCAAATCGCTAGCAATATGAGCCACATTTAGAGACATATTAAACATACAAAGAAATTCAAACCTACAGAGGAAAAACATGTTCTTAAAACATATATTTTGTTTGAATTGTCAAGAAATTCTTTCTGCAAATGATTTTGCTTTTCAAAACAATCAAATGCACACATACTGTCTTTTCAAAAGAAAAAGGCAATCTAGACTTACAAAAGCCCTTTCAAAGTAAAATATAAAGTATATAAGAACAGAAGATTGACATATAACAGCCTTCAGAGATTGCTAAGAAAATATGATTGGTGCAAAAAACTAGGTGGATCTACAGCAGGGGTGTCAAACTCAATTTCATTGAGGGCCGCATCAGCATTGTGGTTGCCCTTGGGGGACCGGGTGGGTGTGGCCTACTGGGTGGGCATGGATGGAGTGGTTGTGGCTTACTGGGTGGGCATGGCCAGCTCTACATCGTTTGCGTCAAGGGTGCCTGTGGGAGCCTGGGCAGGAGTGGGACAGATCTGAGGGTCTCTGGCAGAAGGGGGTGGGACCGGGGCAAGCGCCAAGGCATGGTCCATTTCTTCATTTCTCACAAAGGGTGACACCTCCCCAGCATGCACCCAGGGGGCGGGGCCGACACAGCAGGGGCTGGTTCCTCGCTGTTTCCAGACGGCCTTATGGAGCTAAGACTGAATGCGTTTCAGCATAGATGGCCACCACAAAATTGTACATTAGCTTCCGGCCGGCCTGGGCCAGGGCCAAGGCAGCGGGGGCTGTTCCCTCACTGTTTCCAGGATGGCTTCGCGGGCCACATGAAACCACTTCGCGGGCCACATCCAGCCCCCGGGCCTTGTGTTTGACATGTCTGATCTACAGGTATCCTTTGCTAAAACAAATCATACCTGTCTAACAATTTTGATAGTTTGTACCTAAATGTTGGGCCAAATCCAAGTAATGACTGATTATGTGCCATTAAGTTAGTGTCATCTCTTAGCGACAACATAAATAGATTTTCTCCATGACCCAACTAATGAAGTTAGCTTAGAGTTCACTGCGTTGAGCAAACTGATGCTGAACAGCTACAATTCTGACAGCAGCTCTCCAAAATTCCTGGGAGTTTTTCCTTCCCTATCTCGATATGGATTTAAACTTAGAAATTTTTCAATTCAAACTGAATGTTCTTTCACTTTTCCTCTTGCACACACACACACACGCAGTACTCACTTAATATAAAATTTGCAATTTAATTTGCTTATTTTTGATTTAGCATGCTGTGCAAATCCTAACTATTATTTAATTGCATATATTTCAACAAAATATATTGGCCTTCTGTCTGCTACAAGAGAACACATATTTAAGAAACACATATTATATTAAACAGTATTCCCAAAATACGTATATTCCAATACCCAATCCACAACAATGTTGTGCAATGGAGATGCAGATCAGTATATAAGTATTTATAGTCCTGACTCTGCTTACCTTTTGGGAAGTCCTGAAGTCCTGGCTGGGTACCAGGATAGTAACTGAGCGCACATTATCAGTATATGATGTCTACAAAAGCCACTTTATCTTTTAACTAGTTTTGAAACTAATTTTTATATTGTGCTTATGTTATAACCTTTGTCAACTATCCTTTATGAGAATAGTATTTGTGAGATGGGTAACCATATAAATATTTTTATATTTTCCCTTCCTTTCCTCACAACTATTTCAACAACTTATTTCGATGATTGAAGTAAACTAATTAACATTTCATAGTGCTCTAGATACAGACAATTGTTTTCCAAAACAGCTAGATTTCTGCACAATTAGTCCCACTCTTCAAATCAGAAAAATATATAAATACCAATATCAAAATCCACACGTATATTATAATTCAATTTCTCTAATTTTCCTAAATGACAAATGAATCATTTTCTTCACTTAGAAAGAGAGAGGAGCTAATGCCATATAGCTTTACTTCTTACACAGAAGCTAATGGGTAAGAAGTAAAGCTATATGCCATTAATTCCTCTCCACATAATTAAAAGTAGACGTCAGAAAGTGTGAAACATGAAGTGGCTGCTGTAGACATCAGAAAGTGCTCGCAATAAAATGAAAAAGACAAATACAGACATAAAAAGAGGCTCTCATAATTACGAAAACCATAAATTTCCCTTCGCCCGAAAATCGCGCTACCAGAATTCTCTGCCAGCGAAATTTCCCTGCCAATACTTGTAAGGACATAAGTAGCGCACCTTAGCTATGCTTTGCCGCATGCAAGCCGCCATATTGCAAGTGCCGCTTTGCACGACGGGATGAAGGCGGGATCTCGCAGATGACGAAATGCAAAAGAGGCGGAGACTGTCGTGGAACATTCCAGTAGTATATCTGATGGTTCACTTGTTTCTGGCGTTTATTGATACTTCGTCAGTGAACAAAAATTATTGGAGGCAGTAACGTTGCAAAAATGAGCATATAAGTCGTGTCTTAACCTCAGACGTGCAAGCCCCCATAGAAATAGTCACATGGATAATATATTTGTTTTAAGAGCTTTGTAATTCTTCCTAAATAAATAATATTGTCATTCTGCTTGAATGCCTTTGCAGAAAGGTGATGTATAAAAGGATAAGTAATAAAATATTGCTGCTATTTGGAGATTGTATTTAGTAATCAGGGTACCTAATTGTACTTGATTACCGAATTATTCATCAATATACTCAGTCCTTTGAAAAAGCACTAATCTCAAGTCCTTTCACTTTTTGCAAGCTGAATGAAGTTTTGCAGAAAGTGAAGGTAAATGCATAGTAGGGTAGACCACTGAAAATAGAAGTGGTTAAACATTAAGAACAAATCAATTCACATTGGCATAGTCACCAAGTCTCCAGAAAAAACTGAAATTAGTTAATTTATTAAGAATAAGCACTTTGCAACATCCAAAGCTTAGCAAATATTCTTAGATGGATTAATCAGCTAAAAAATGGACAGTGGGTAAAATATGACCTGTTCACTGTAGAAAAGTGAAACAATTGTTTACATGTGCACTGCAAACAATTGTTGGCAGGAAGTGGAATGTGTTGGTTTCCCTATTTATTGCAAACTAAAAATGTCAGCTATTAGTTCTAAAGGCATAAATAGTAGAAGCTTATTGGGCTGAAGAAGTTTATAAATATTTTAAATAAGCAGCTTCAAGTAAGCCTCAAACATTCAAGAATTATCCATGATTTGGGAAAACAGGTGATGTGTTAGCAGTCTATTACAGAGGATTAACATTTCATCTAAACACCACATCTAAGTCAGAACAAAACAAATCGCAAAATTCAGAACAGCATTAAACTTCCATAGCATCATATGTCTGAGCAAAATTTCCTGGACCACGAAACTTTTCATAAGCTTTTATAGTCACGTGGGAACAATTTGGATTAGAGAGTAATACTGAAAAGAATGGATCTGGCATTATTCTCGAACTTCTGAGATCTGTTCTCTACTTGCCAGGGGCCCCCAACCCTCAGTCCATGGACCAGTACCAGGCCGCGGCATATCAGCAACTGGTCCGTACAAACAAAATCCCATCCGCAGGATGCAGACAGCATGCAAAACCACGCACCCTCTGGTCTGCAGAAAAACCTCTCTCCACGGAACCGGTCTCTGGTGCCAAAAGGTTGGGACCTCTGCTCTACCCCCAGTGAAGTGCCAGTTCTTATGGGCCATATTCATCAGACATGCTCAATAATAACCTACATTTAGCAAGTACATGTGCAATATTCTAACCCTACCCCATGAGCTCACTAACTGAGGTTTCAGGCTTAACATTGCTAAATCCTAAGTGGCTATTTTCTTGTGCTGCAAGCTAGAAGAAACCTGAAGTAAAGTTGAAATCTTATTTAAAAAGTTGTCTGCTTTTTAAGGAGTTTGCTAATTATAATTTCTTGCTAAGCACATCATGCACTTATTGTACCTTGATTGTATTTGTCACAGACAAATTACGAACTTGCTAAAGGTCTACAATAATTTGATCAGAATTAGAAGAGGCATTCTGCACTAATCAATAGTACTTTCCTTATAAGACACAAGTAGATAGTGTACAGATAGTCCTTGACTTATAACCATTCATTTAGCCACCATTCAAAGTTACAATGGGGGTGAAAAAAGTGACATATTTTAATGGCCATCGCAAAAGGGGATCATATGACCCCAGAACACTGCAACTGTCATAAATATGAGCCATTTGCCAAGTGTCTGAATTTTGATCATGTGACTATGGGAATGCTGCAACAGTCGTAAGTATGAAAAACAATCATAAGTCACTTTTTTCAGTGCCATTGTAACTTTGAATGGTCATTAAGAGAAGGATGGCTGAAATGTCCCCTTCGAAGTATATTATTCTGTATGAGTTGATTAATTTTATTTAACTTACTAAGATTATTTATATTTAAATAAATATTTTCCTCCTGGGCTGTACCTTATTTCAAATATAATTGAAGCCAAATATGATCTCAGCCTAGAAAACATTACACATCTTTGCCTTAACAAAAACAATTGATCTTGAGACTCCATTTGCTCCTACTTTCTTCAGTCCTAGTTTACATTAGAATTATAAATCTGTGTCTAAATTGTACCACTTAAAACTAGATTAGATTTCTACACAAAACTCAAAAAAACAATCTGAACATATATGCTGCCAAAATTTGGCCCTATTTTAATGAGAGTAATCATCACCTCAGGCAGATAATTGAACAGTACTGGTTTCTAATGCATCATTATACTGCCAGGGAAGATTTTCTGGACATTTATATAACTTTTTCCCTCAGGTACAACTTGGTTGGCCTTGATTACTTGGATCATGATATATCCCAGGATTGAAAGCAACACTTCTTGCCTACCTCAAGTAGTAACATCCTTAAGCCAATGTTCACAGGTTCCTCCTAATATGGACTATACTACAGTATAGTACTAGGGCTGTACTGTTACCTTTATGGGTCAACCTGATGGCACATAACCAATATTACTATTTACACCAAGTTCTCTTGGCTGGACATGGAGGAGACCAGGTTATAGGAGAAGCTGCTATAACTACAGATGTTAGTAGAGCAGAGCAGGTGGTATGACTTTCTACTAATGGTAACACTGTCATGGATTAGAATATTAATACTGTCTCACATGGTATGATTATGCCAGTATATTATGCAAAGAGCTGTTATCAAACTAGCCTTACCTCAACATCCACACCGTAAGATGCAGATGTCAAAGTGAAACTCCTCCTTACAGGATGTTGGCATACAAGAGCGAAATCACTATTATATAGTAGTTCTAATTATGTAGTCGTAATTGTACAGATGACTGTTTCCCACAGTACAGCAAATCACTGCTATATATACGTCTTCTCTAGTAACTTCTCCATTTCCATTTTTCCATTTTTATTGTTCTAGAGATATTTGTTAGGATTTAATGTTTAATGCTGTAAGGTACCCAGCATATATTGGCTGCAAATAAAACTAACTTTTGTCTTAACATGCATATTTCTTCTCATTTGTATACATAAGAGAATCATATTTTTAGAGGAGAATTTTATGTGATTGCCATCTCAATGTTGTAGCCCCAATACAGATATAGAATAGAATAGAATAGAATAGAATAGAATAGAATAGAATAGAATAGAATAGAATAACAGAGTTGGAAGGGACCTTGGAAGTCTTCTAATCCAATCCCCTGCTTGGGCAGGAAACCCTATACCAATCTCTTCTTAAAAACTTCAGGTGTTGGAGCATTCACAACTTCTGGAGGCAGGTTGTTCCATTGATTAATTGTTCTGTCACAGGAAATTTGGAGAGTAGCTTGACTCCCTCCTCTTTGTGGCAACCCCTGAGATTTGAAATACTGCTATGATGTCACCCCTAGTTCTTCTTTTCATTAATCTAGACGTACCCAATTCTAGCAACCATTCTTTTATGTTTTAGCCTCCAGTCCCCTGATCATCTTTGTTGCTCTTCTCTGTTCTCTTTCTAGAATCTCAACATCTTTTTTTACATCGTGGTAACCAAAGCTAGATGCAGTATTCCATCTAGGCCAGCGGTCCTCAACTTATGGGTTGCGACCCCATTTGCGGTCGATCGACCATTTCACGGGGGTCACCAAGCAAGGCTGTCTGCCATTTTTTCCCCTTTTCCGGCGGGTGCCTTACCTCCCTTGAGCTGGGCCAGCTGGTGGTCGGCCTGCTCCGTCTCTGCCGCTTACCAGCTACGCCTCGGCCGGCGCAGGGGGCGGAACCACACATGCGCGGCGCTCCTGGGCAGGGAAAGTCCTTGACTTACGACCGGTTGGGTAGTCCTTGACTTACGACCGGTTTAGTCCTCGACTTACGAACGGGTAGGGGGTCGTGGCATTAAAAAGGTTGAGAACCACTGATCTAGGCCTTATCAAGGTATTGTAAAGTAGTATTAACACCATGTGATTTTAATTCTATCCCTCTGTTAAAGCACCGTGTTGGCTTTTTTGGCAGCTGCAGCACACTGCTGGCTCATATTTAAGTGATTGTCCATAGGACTCCGAAATACCTCTCACAGTTAGTACTATTGAGTGAGTGTAATGTATTGAGGTGAATTACTTGTAAATTTTGAAAAAATGGTCATAAGACTCTGTCAGTTAAGAGCCAGACTTTCTGTCTCCATGCTAATTACTTGTGTTAAAAGCAGGAACAATACTTGAATCCTATTGGCCGCCGCCTAGTGGCTGAGTGTATATAAAGGGATGGAGCAGCAGTTATCCAAGCCAGTGTTTAATCTTTTAATAAAGAGTTGCTTGTTTCACCTGCTGCCTCGTAGATGCCTCATTGAACACCAAACTTAACAGTGAGGTGCCACCTATACAGTACCTGTGCATTTGGTTTTTCTTGCCTAAATGTAGAACCTTACTTTTCTTCACCATTGAATTTCACTTTGTTAGATAGTGCCTAATATTCAAGTCTGTCAAGATCCTTTTGTATCTTAAGTCTATATTCTTAAGTCTATATTCTGCCAGCTTGGTGTGGTCTGCAAATCTGAGGAGTTCCCCATCTATCCCCTCATCCAGATCATTGATGAAAATGTTGAATACTGGGCCTGGTGTCCTCTGCACATCTGAGGAGTTCCCCATCTATCCCCTCATCCAGATAATTGATGAAAATGTTGAATACTGGGCCTAAAACAGAGCCTTGGGATACCCCACTGCATACTTCCCTCCCTCAGTCAGAATACTACTCTCTAACCTACTTTTTCTTAACCTTAGCAAGATTAAGATGTGTGGACTTCAACTCCTAGAATTCCCTAGC